ATGACTGCTTCTTCATAGTCGTATGGTTCTGTCCTCTAAACTTGAGCCCCTGCCACCAGGGCTATGTAAATCAAATCTGCATAGGAGTATCTTGCTAGTGGCCTAATTTCTCTCCTACTTATATCCCTGGCTAACTGGTACTGAGCTAAGGGGTCAGGATGCGGTTCAACAGGTTTTGTTGCATTTTCCTCTTCCAAGTCAACGTCCAGATCTGGTTCATTTACTTCAGCTTCTGATGTTCCAATCCAGGTTGAATTTCAGCAGGCTCCAACTTAATTTAGACTCTCTCAGGCTGATCCTGGTTCATAGGATTGCTGCTTGTTGATCTTGCATCAAGGTTAGCAACTTTGCAAGGAAATATATTTTCATTGAAAATTACATCCCTACTGATTATTATTCTAACTCTCGGGTACTTCTATCCCAAAGCCTATACCCTTTGGTTCCCTCTTGATAACCTAGGAAGACACACCTAAATGACCTAGTATCTAATTTCCCTTCACTGTTATGGACGTATGCAGCACATCCAAAGGTCCTCAAGTGTCCTAAACTAGGTTTCCGATTACTCCACTTTTCCTCAAGACACTTAAAGCTGATGGCACTTGAGGGACTTCTGTTAATAAGGTAGGCAACTGTATTGAGGGCTTCCCCCTAAAATGACTTCAGAAGGCTGGATGTGAAGAGAAAGCATCTCACCTTCTCTAAAAAGGTCCTGTTCATTCTTTCAGTAACCCCATTCTACTGAGGGGTTCTCCTAACAGTTCTATGTCTTAGGATGCCATGTTTAGTGCAGTAGGAGTCAAATTCCAGTTACAAAACTCTAAGCCATTGTCGGTTCTAAGGGTTTTAACCCTTTTGTCAGTTTGGTTTTCTACAAGAACCTTCCAACTCTTAAACCTATCCAAAGCTTCATCCTTAGTCCTAAGTAAGAAAACCCACACCTTCCTACTGTAATCATTTACTATAGAAGAAAATAACTACTACCCCCATGTGATTTGACCCTTTCAGGTCCCCACAAGTCAGCATGCAAATATTATAAGCAGTTGGCAGCCAGGTGAGTTCCCTTTTGGAAACTCAACCTGTGTTGCTTGCCCATAATGCAGGTCTCACAAAATTCAAAAGGTTCAATTGGGTCCTTACCAAATAGGCCCTGCTTATGGAGGATGTCCAAGCCTTTTTGGCTCATATGGCCTAGTCTTATGTGCCATTTTTCAGTAACATTCAAGTTAGTAGAAACCAAAGCAAAATTTAAACAGTCAGAATAATAGAAGTTAGTAGAAACCAAAGCAAAATTTAAACAGTCAGAATAATAGAAGTTAGTAGAAACCAAAGCAAAATTTAAACAGTCAGAATAATAGGATCCAGACAAAATATACAAGCCATTCCTTTTTATCCTTTCAAGCAAAACACAGTTATTTTTATAGACATAAAGACAACCATTTTTAGCTTTATAACTACAACCAGATTCATCTAAGACTCCTAGTGAAATTAGGTTTCTTTTTAATTCTGGAATGTACCTCACTTTACTCAACTTGACAATTTTACCATTGTTTAGTTTTAATGTTATGCTGCCTATCCCTTCAACTCTACAAGCATTATTATTCCCCATGTAAACTGTTTCTAACCTATTCTCCTTATAGTCATGAAACCAATCTTTATTGGGACTTATATGAAATGAGCACCCAGAGTCCATTACCTAATCACTTATTTTTTCTGTTTTAGAAACAGTTAGAACTTCAGATTCTTCTAAACTGGACTTAGAGGTTGCTAGGTTGCTTTCAGTATTCTCTTGTTTCTGTTTCTTAAGCCAGGCATAACAGTTCCTTTTCAAATGGCCAGCCTTGTTACAAAAGAAACACTTCATGGTTTCTCCTTTGGCCTTACGGTTTTGTTTTCCCTTTTTCTTATTCCTAGGCCCACTATCAGATTGGACAGAATTACTTATGTGGTTAAGATCACCCTTTCCCTTAACAAATAGGTTACTACCAGTTCTTCTCTACACTTCAATCTCTAACTGCCTAGCTTCTAATCCTGAAACAATTAAATCAACGCTTGGGATAGTACCAACATATTGAAGGGCATTTTTTACAACCTGATAATCTTCAGTTATAGAATTCAAAAGAATCATAGCTAAACTAGAGTCTCTGAGTTCTTGATCTGTATCCTTCAACACTTGGGTCAGTTTCAAGAACTCATCAATATTTTCATCAATAGTCCTAGAGCTGTCCATTTTATAAGCAAATAAGACACCTTTTAAGTAAGCTAGATTAGATGCAGACTGTAATGCATAAAGAGATTCGAGTTTACCCCATACCGCTATCGAAGTTTCAAAACTGTCTACCTTTCGTAGGACCGCGTTAGAGAGGTTCATGATGATCAAATTGTACGCCTCCTCCTCCAGCTCTGCCTTTTTTTTTTTCAGATTCTCCTCTGACCATTTGGTCACGTTTGATGGGAAAATTGATTTCAACTCGTGTAATAGTCATAGTGTTTAGATTTGGGGTTGGTGTTTGAATTTAGGGTTGACACAGAAGAAACCCTAATTTAGTTAGGATCGAATTAGAACTGATTTCAAGAAATTGACCGGATAATCTAAGGTTTTCCAAGCCCTAAGATACTAATTTGACTGATTATACAGAAACCCCCAATTTGTATAAACCTAGGTTTCAAGAATCACTCAAAACAGACTGAAAACCCTAATCTCGCTCTGATACCACTGTTAAGAATCAATCAAACTCAACCTAACCTATTCCTTTATCAAACACAACTAGCAAACACTCAAGAAACAACACAAACAATAAAGAATCAAGAACCAAGAACACAGCCAAATTTTACGGTGGTTCGTTTATTCCAATGGAATAAACTACATCCACGTTGAGTTCAAAGTAATTTGAGACTCTCTGCACTATAATGATTGAATTCGTTACAGATTACAACAAGAAATCTCAATAACCCCCAAATCTCTCCTCTCACACTTTCACTCAATGTACCCATAATCAACACAACCGTAATCAACACAACCAAGACAACTTAAACAAGCGTCTAAACCAGAAGAATATGCAGCTTCTTCTACCACAATTCTAGAAAAATTGTGACCTGATTACAACTTGAAGGAAACAAACTAAGCACCCAGCATTGACGAAAACGTGAGAGAGAGAGAGTGAGTTTTTCAATCTGTTTTCAATCTATTTTGCAGTGAATCTCAGCTTTAAATATGTTGACCTTCTGGGCTAATTTCCATCGTTAGATTAGGCTGAGATTTATGGCTGAGATCTGTAACTTACTACCTTATTAAAAACGTTAGCGTGTTGAAGCTTCACTTAACAAAGATGCTCAAAACTGGACTGGATAATTTAATAACGAAAGATGTGGATGGGAGAAATTTGTGAGGCCTTTGTGAAAATAGAACAGAGGAAAACAGGCGACCTTTTTTATTTATTTATTTATTTATTGGCAAAGCTTTCCCCGAAGGTGTATACTTATTGGAAGGAGTTTCAGTTTCAGCATGGAGAATGAACATTTGAAATTATCAACTACTTCATCCTATGCATATTTCAAATGTGCACGCCTTGATTAATGTTTTAACACAATATCAATGCCAAGGGCTAGACAGAAACTATAACAGGGTAAAGTTAAATTCTGTAGCCACCAGTAAGTTTAATATCGACAAACAAAAAATTTCACCAAGTACAAAACAATCCCAAGCAAAAGAAAGTAGTTTATTATAAATTCAAAACCAAGCAGAATAGTTGCTGCATGTTTAAATAGAAGAAAATATCATAAAGAAATCCTCGAACTGCATCTTCCAAGAAACGAGTAATTAATGAGAAAATAACACATTCACAGCACTCAACATTTAGAAAATAGTAGATATATAATCAGGGAGACTTTTAGTCAGTGGGGTCAAAATATCAACTATAAATCAAAGCTCTAAATCTTATAACTTAGACTTTTTAAACCATTTGTACTAACCCGATAAAATTCAACTCATAAACCCATAAAAACTCATCAGATCCTCTAAATATCAAGCAATTAACCAATATATCAAATTAAACTAGATCCTTAAATCTCTACAGTTGAGAGTTTCATCAATTTTTTAGATCCATTCAAAATTAACTCAATAACCAAGCAAAATTTATCAAACCCAACTTAAAACAACAACTAATTAACCCATACATCAATATAAGAAATATTAAATCAAAACCCACATAAAAATCTAGGAATTTAATCTTTTAATTTCAAACCCATTTATTAAATTCAACAAAAACTGAGAGCCAAATTCTAAGAACACATGTTCCGTCTCCATTTGATGTTAAGATTTTATCCTTATCTGAGACATGTGTAAGTGGTCCATATACATGTGTAATTAGCTCATTAGGTGTACTAGAAAATTCGTTTTGCTTTATAGTGGTTCCTAGAAAGTTTGGTGAAAACTTTCCCAAAATGGCCAAACATGTGAAATGCTTTTTGGCTAGTTGTCCCCTTGCATTGGTGAGCAAGTTTCTTTATATTCGTCTTCTCCAATGCATTTCATTTCAAACTTGAATATACCTCTGAAAGCTCTATTCATATTCTTTGAGGTTTTATTACTGTAAAACCCCTCCCTAGCCGGGTATTTCCTAAGTATCCCTTGGCCATTGAGAACCTAGAAAACGCACGCCTAGGAAAGAAGTTTATTTTTAAAATCATATTTAAAGAATAAACTTGTAGTTTAAAACATATATATAGATATATGTGTTTAATTTTTTTCCTTAACTATAATAAGATCATTGTATAAACAAAAAAATATAGTTTCCTTTCTTGGAGTAAATTATGAAATCCATAGTAATACTTACTAAAACATACACACTTTTATAAAATTTACTAGCAATTTGATTTCCTTTATTAATACAACATGTTTACTCCATTATAGAACATGGATATAATTACTACATTATGAAATATGAACATAATTACTACACTAAATATTAGCAAAACCATTTAATAGTCATCATTAAAGCATCCTCTCATGCTCATAGCGTCCCTTGGAATCCTCTCCCAGCTTCATGCCTTAGTCCGTACCTGCAAAACATTTTAAAACATTTCGTGGGGTGAGCGCTAATCGCTTAGTAAGGAATATGGCCATTTATAAACTATTAAGGTTCATTATACAAGTAAATTACTTAGGACTTTACCTACCTACAAAACATGACCTTCATTCTTTGACATAACAAGTTCATAAAACATATCATACATTTTGGACTTTTCTCATAAACATAAGTCATAACATAACCATACATAATATAACATAGAACATAAATGACTTATGAAATATTCATGTACATGGCATGCTTATTTGTTTTGTCTATATACTTGACGATTTCATTAGTCTTTGTTATCCGATCGGATTCATTTGAACCATTACCTTGTTCTTGGTCGTCACCTCAAAGGACTCATGGTTTCCATAAGAATTCCATTCCTCTGATCTTGGTTTATACCTCAAGAGACTCATGGAATTCATTCATTAACATTTCATAATTTTTTTCATAAGACAACTAAATAAGCTATATGCATTACCATTATGAATGCAAACATATGGACTAACATCTCCCATGCTCAATCATACTATATTCTCCTACTAAACTTCTTAACTTAATTCATTCAATTTCTCATACAATACAAAGAATTTCAGTAGTAAGATTATTCAGGGGTTTACTAGAATTAGAAACAAATGGGAATTTCCATTAAGAAGGTGGATGCCATACAGTTCGTTACTTTCAAGCAATTTTTCCATTATCTTCTAATTCGAATTTATTTTTGGCTAAAACATAAAAGTTTTAGGTCTGTTTCTCAAATTTTTAACACTTCAAGAATCAACTCAATCGGACTTCTATAACTTCAGTTATGACTGATTCAGTGAAGCATGTACAGTATAAGTCTTAAAAAGCCAAATCCGAATTATATTCATTTTAACCATGTCACCTTCATTTGCACATTCATATCATTTGCCATATCATTCTTAGTATAAAAGGCCATAAAAACCTCCCTTTTTACAGAACCAAAAAGTGCCAAAACATCGTCCAACTACAAATCTCTTAATTGGCATAATCATCCTCCACATGCACACATACACCAATCAACACACCCATTTAAACAATCCATAACCAAAACATAGCATCACACTCATATTAACATAAATAAATGTAAGTTTCATAAACCCTAGGTGTTATCAATTGTAGTCATAAGGGAGATTTTTTCCTTACCTTAGTATTCAAAGCACAAAGGTACTCCTCCTTGGCTCCAAAGTTTCACCTTTCTACCTTACACACACAACCACTTATGAATTTCTCTTTTAACTAAAAAATTCAGAAAAACTAGGGTTTTGAAACTCACCTTTAACCCTGAAATTGAAGTTCTTTAAGGGTGGATGGTGATCTCCTTTGAAAATCAACTTGAAATCCTAAGAAAATTTGAGAATAAAAGCTTGGATTAGTGGCTTTTATGGTGGATTTGAGAGATGAAGAAGAAGATGATATATTTGGGGTCTCCAAGGCCGACTACTCTCTCTTTAAACCTTGTAAATATTCATTCCATTGTTACTCTAATGTGATTGGTCAATAAAAGTTAGATATAAAGGTCATTTGGCATAAATTTTTCATATAAGGGCGTTTTGGTCATTTCTACCACAACATAAAGATAAGTACTCATTTAATGCCATTTGACTTCTTTAAAACACTTAACCATTAAGTAATTCTACTAGGTAAATGACTAATTTACCCTTGGTGCACTTTTATGGACACTTAAATCATATGGTTTTGTATGAAAAGACCATTATACCCTTGGTTACCGTTTATGCCATTTAACCTTATCAATCAACTTTATAACCATTCTACCCTCATTTCTATTCAATGACATCATCCTTTACACTTTATAATGGCCACATCTCGAAATACATGTAAATTGACCATTTTACCCTTCCATTCAAAAAAGAAAATTACTTGAAAAGGTAAATTTCATACCTTAGGGCATCGGAATAATAACGTGGGGTTTACAATTACTTTTGAATCAGGTTTCATATGCTTAGGTAGATTTACAAATACCTTGGTTACACTTTGTTTTGTTCATGGCTATAACGTTGTTCCTTGTTGATGCTTGAGAAGTTTCAAGCTTTTGGAATTGAAGTGCATCTTCAAAGTTAAACCTTGAGAGGAGCTCAAGGCTGACTAGGTGGTCTTGGGTGGAAGCTTGTTGTTGTGGCTAGAGGTTCAATCAAAGAGTGAAGATTGAAGTTTTGTCATAAATAAGGAGTGTTTTGAAACTTGTGCTTATCATTAGCTTTGTATTTGAACACAAAAAGATTATCATAGTGGGTTAGCTTCTTCTGGACTTGGTCCTATGGATGTAGACAAGTTGCCAAACCATATAAAAATGTGTTGTGTTCTTTATATTTTGCTATGGATGATTTGTTTATGTTGATAATCATTAAACCAACACATAAAGCAAAAATGAACAAGTTAACCCATTCTGCTTAAGTTTTAATAACTTGTTAACATCTTAAAATTTTTGGTTATGACATCAAAAAATAGCATTAAAGCTTAGAACATATGTAAAATAACAAAAACTAGAGGTGAACATCATAAATAGACAAAAAGGAACTCACAGATAATCTGTTTTGTTTTCATCAATGGTGGAACAAAATCTATGAATTTCATCTAAAACCATATCTTCAAGATACAGTATACAAATGCATAACAAGAAACAAGTCGTAGCAGCAAAAGCTGATGCACACCTCTATTGCATTTTGCGTAGCAACTTCATCTTCAAATTCAACAAAGCCAAAACAAAATCCCTATTCCAAAGAGAATAAATATCAGTTTCAAAGACAATAAATTGTAAATCAAAGAGGAAAATGAGATCAAATATACCTTTTGGGATTTAATTTGAATACCACCCAAATAGTTAAAATAGTAGCATAATCTTCAACCAAAAAAAAAAAAAATAGTTGATCAAAATATCAGTTTGGACGGCACGACTAGTGGTGGTCGGCTGGAATTTTGACAGAGAGAGATTTGATAAGGGGAATTAGAAATTTTGATGGCTTGGGTTGGGAGAGAATATGATTTAGGGTTATCCAATTTTTCGAGAACTTCTGGTTTTGAAATTTTTTATTTCTAGTTTTGGGGATTAGTACTATGGCCCACATGGTACATGTCATAGACTTTGTATCTTTGACTTTATTGTATAATAATATATCAGACGGATAAGATTAGTATAAGTTTCAACTGCAATTCAAGCTAGCACCATGAAAATTTACATGATAGAGAATAAAAGATATAATAGATTTATATATGAATATATTATATTTGCAGTATGAACATATTGACATGAGGGTAAGAAAAACAGCTAAAAGATAAAACAATCTTAGTGTTCTTCACGCGACTGCACATACTATGCTCACAAATGATTGAGATTGTTCAAAGAATAGGACATATTGTAGACAGCTCATCAGGAATATTGTGTCTCTGAAGACGCTCATTCTCCATATTCGCTCTCTTAAAATTCTCTTTAAGCCTATGAATTTCCTCGTTTCATTTCATTTGAGCATCTTTTGCTTTCAATTCTGACTTTAATCGGGCAACTTGCTCCTCCAACAATTGCTTTTCAAGCTTACTAATTGCCTCTATAAACTTCAACTCAAGCTATTAAAAACATCAACATGGACCATTAAGCTCTTAAATAACAATATAATACAAATACTGCTCGATATAATTGATGAATGAAAAAGATAATACATTAGCTAAAACATTGGCAAATTTATCAACTGGAGACCATTCCCAAGTAAAATGGCATCCCTAAATTAGATTCAGTTGGAGGACCCCTGAAATCCTACAACCATTGTTAATCATATAAAAATATATGTTTACATAGGATCTCATTGATTACGAAGATCATTTCAAGGTGTGCTATAAATTTAGACTAGAGGAAAAGGGAAATAATAGAAATAAAACAGGAAATAAAGTACAAAAATGCTTGACAATAAAGGTGCAATTCGATTTGAACAAACTACCTCAAGTACTGGTAACGTGCCGAATGCACCAAATTAATTAACCTTACTAACCTAACTATTGAATTGTATAAAGGGCAAGCAAGGGTCGATCCCACAGGGAATGACTCGATTAATTTCCATATTCTAAAACAATAAAAACAACAGAAATGCAAATTAAACTCTAAACAGTAAACCTGACAACAGTAATGAAAGGTGGTTTGTAATCAAGGCAAACTAGAGCAAAACAGAGAAATAAAATATCAGGTTAACAATCAGTTCTCGGTTCAATATCCACCTAAACATGTATTGGACATAAAGTAACCGTAACACTGTTCTATCTCGTCATTATGGAACTACTAACCCTAGGAAACAACAAGCTCTGTTACCCGAATTCTCCCTTAGTTTGTCACTACTGAAACAAGCTCTTCGAGTAGATACTAACCCTTGAACAACCTAGAACAAGCTCTCTAAATTTAATTCAATGGTAGCCTTAAGAATTAGGAGAATAGATCAATCTAAGCAACAATCACGCAAGCTCTGATTATTTAACTTAGGTTATGTTATTCAAGACAATAGACCGAAAACTTGTCCATAATCAGCTATCATCATGCGTCACTCGTTGAATAGAAAAAGGACGATTATGTATCACAATTCCTAATTCTAACAGGTAAATTCTGATTAAACAATTTAGCAGGCCAAAACTAAATCACTCAAACAAGAATCACAGACAATTAAATCAGAATAACATAAACAATTCTAATAAAAATGAGATTGAGAACAACGTTATTGAAGTTAAGTTACACCAATGACATGAAATTAGGCTTCAAAATCCCCTTGAACTGAAGAAGGAAATTAGCCACACATCTTGATCTAGAAAGTAAAAACTCTGAAAAATTAAAACTCTACTGTCCTTCCCCCTTTCACCTAAAAACTTCTAATTAAATAACATGTGTTTTCCTTAATTCTTCCCCAAGAATCATGGAATTTCTTTCCTAGACGTTTCCTAGCAGATAGACTTCCAGATTTGACAAAATCTTATCAGATATGGATTCCAGAATTCGTCTCTAGCTTGCACCAGGATTCTCGCAATGTAAAAGATCTTTTATGGGCTCTGTCACTTCATACAAATTGTAGTCCAGGATGTCTAGATTAATCTGGGCTTTTGAATCATCCGCTTTCGATATCTGACTCTCCAGTTAGGCCCGTTCAAAGATCCAATACTCATCTAAGGAATCCTTCTACGACTAGGATCCTAGGTCCGGTTTTGCAACAACTACTGAGAACCCAAACGAACTCGTATTCTCGCCATAATACCTTTCTGAAAAGCTTGATTCGTCTACTTTAATTTCTCTGAAGAACACTTTTGCAATCAAGGAATCTAGCTCCCTGAAAAACCTGAAAAATGCAGCACTGGTCAGAATAACAACAATTCTGGAATTTCCTAATCTTTTATCACTTATTTCCTAAAGTCTATCCCACTATGCCAAACTCACAAAATAAACTCTAATCAACTCAAATAGGCATAAAACATAACAAAAAAAACATAATATGGAAGGAATAAAAATATCTAAATTGCACTCTTATCAGGTACTCTTATTGCCACTTAATTCATTGAAAGTCAAAATGCAAAAAGTATCTAGAAAACCTTTATGAAAAATTCAACTAGTTATAGTCATTAAATCAGAATATGTGAAAATATGGCTTTATAAAAGGGTTTTCTTCAATGAAATGGTAAGTTAAAGCCTCTTAAGAGGTGCACAAGAAATTTAATCTTTCAAAGGGAGGTGTTCTCCATAAGTACAGGGAAATGCCACAATTGAACCTTAACCATCTTGTAATTATACAACTTAGATAACCGCAAATGCACATGATAAATCAAGAAATGAACACAAGATTACCATCTCACTAATTCGTTTGAGTTGATCTTCATATGATCTTTTTATTTCAGCCTTCAGCTCTGTAATTTCTCGTTTTGAATATCCCTTTAGGGAATCAACCTCCACTTGTTGTTCATGATGTTTCATAGCCTCCTTCTATATATCAAATAAAGACATTTCACGACATATTTAATGTGAACTGCATGAGTCAAAAAAAGAAAAAAAAAATATTATGAACAAACTCACCTTGACTTCAACAAATATTTCATCTGTGTATGGTTGTCTGCCATTCTGCGCTATGACCCTGTCAACAAGGGAGAGGAGCTCTCCAACTTGTCTAGCTCTTATGGTTTCATCCTTAGTCTTATTATCAAAAAGCACTCACCGATTTTCACATAAATCAAGAATATCCTAAGACAATGTTAATATAAATTTGAAAAATAGCTTATATTAACCTTTTTATAGGATGAATGAACATTTTAAGAATCGTAAAGCTTGAAGATGTTCAGCCTAGCATATATATGCTAACCAAATAAAATAGTTTGAAAACAATATTTTTCTTTAACAATGATAAGTGCTTAAAAATACACTTATACTTAGTGGTTTATAGGTATCATTTGTTGGAAATTAAGATTAATTTGCATGAATTAACTTAATTTTTTCCTAAATGCACTTTTCGGGATCATGGGTATTTTTGTTGTGTTTTCAGGGTATAAGGCTCAAAAATATTATTCGGATAAGAGATGATGTTGGCAAGAGAATTTGTGATGATTGGAAATAAACGGATCGAGAATCGGATTTGAATTGAGGAAGTTATGGAAGTTGAATTAAGATCCTGGATTATGTTCCAGCTTGCGCATGCCTTGGTATTTTGATAATATCTTGAGGTGTGGAACTCTGATTAAGACGATTCTTAAACCGTTAGAAAGCTGATTCAAAGGGCTATATTTCATATGTTTACACTTTTCCAAATTTCATCATTAGCATGTTCAAAAATCACCATCTTTGAAGAATAGTGGAATGATGCGGGAAGAAGACCAGTAGCTACTGTGCCGCGTCACAGTGCGGCGGCAAAGTGCAGCGGCATAATTTTTCCAGTAGCTACTGTGCCACAGCATAGTGCTGAGGCACAGTCATGATGGCTGGAAACTTTTCTTCTGTTTTTTTACTAGGAAAATAGGGTTTAAGAGTCCTCAACTAACTAGAATTAAGGAAAACAAAACCCTAACCCTTGTGGGATATAAATAGAAGTCTTTTAGCATTATTTTAGGGAATTTCTTTTGGGATCTTGGTAGAGAACAAAAATACTCAATAATGTAGAGATTAAGAGAGATTGAAAGAGGCTTGGACTGAAGAATTGGGGAAGATCATCATCAACTCCATTGTTCTACCCAAGATTTCCTAAGTTTTTCTTATCTCTTGTTATTATTTTGTTATTCATTAATATGATTATGTTTTTATTCTTCTCCATGAGTAACTAATTCTTTTGTGATTGAGGGTGATTTCAAAACCCTAGACATGTCTTGTGATTAATAAAATCTGCTTCTATTCATCTTTTGATCCCTCTTGGTTATGTGGTTATTTCTCTATGAATAGGGTTTAGATAGATTGTCTTAATTGTTTAAGTGCGCAATTAAATAGTTAGGATTAATTTATTAATGCCAATTTAGGTTTTTTTAGTACGGAATCACTTTATTAACCTAAATAAGTAGTGGTAAAGTGTATGCCTGCATACATGGGGGATAATCACTCAAGATAACTAAACCAACCATATGAGTTTAGACTTGATTCAGTAGGTCTCTCGCAACTTAATGCTTTTATTACTTTGAATCTAGAGATCGTATCCTAGGTTATCTAATAAATAGGGAATTGGGTTATGACCTTGTCTAATCCAACGACTTAGTAAGGAGAGATAGAACTTATCAATGTTTGGTATTTTCTGAGCTAATGTGATTAAGAGGGTAGAAAGTTAAAGAGTGCTTTTATTATATGTAATTCATGTCTAGTGGGGGCGAATAAACCTTCAATCTAGTTTCTCTTATTTATCTCTTTCGTGATTGTTTCCTTGTTTTATTTTGTTTAATTTTAGTTTGATAGTTTTTGTTGAGTTTTTATAATTCGTGACAAATCTTTTTTGAAGTATATAATTAATTGAGTTCATAAATCCTTTGTGGGAAAGACCCTTACTTGCTCTTTGCTACTACACGAC